AGAGAGAGAGAGAGGAACAGATCACGAAAGTTTGTTCCATTTTGCAGAAGCAAAGGACACAGAGCGAGAGCTAGCATATCTCCACTTTTTTGCTTAATTGTGACTTAATTTCCGTAGAATGTATGGCTGAAAAGAGCTTTATAAAAAAGCTCTTTCATCAGCTTAAACAACATTATCATCTAAAATTGGAAAAAGGACACCAATATTACAAAATAGTTAAATTATTTATTAATAAAGTATCAAAAAATCATTCATTAGAAAAAATCTTGCTGATAATTTTTTTCAAAGGCAGCTATCTCAACCCAAAGCCAAAAGTTAAAAATAACAAATATAAATAAAAAAATCGATTAAATTATTTTACGGAATAATTATAATTTAACATTTTGTATAATTTTATTGAAAATTTATAACTACGTCATATTATTTATGTCATATTATTAGCTTGAAATACGTTTTATTAATATTGCACATTGTTTCGTATGTGGTATTGACATTTTTAAAATTTCTGTGACAATTTTAATCCAATACCATAGAACTTTAATAAAAAATGCATACGCATCACACATGAATTGAATTAACATTTGTTTTATATTCGAAACTAAGCCTTCGAAAAATGTGTTTATATAAACGTTTATACGTTTATTTAAAGTGATACGTATCTGATGCTGCTGGCGTGTAAATGGTATAAATTTTAATTCATTTCATGTTACGTGCGCGCGACAATAATACTATTTTTGTTCTCTTTTTTTTTTTCTTTCATTTAAGCTCTCTCTCTCTCTATATAATCGTTGCCCAGATGGAGATACCTGGTTGCCGCCTGCCTGTTTCCTTCGCAAACGCACTCTCTCGCGCCTCGTCTTCGTCACACACGTACCCTCCGATGTGCGTCTCTCCTTCCTCAACCGCACCGATGAGTCATTACAGTTGGGTACAAAGTCCGTCGACGGTCTTTGTCCGCTCCTTGCCTCTCTCCCGAGCTATTCTTCTCTCGCGCCGCTCTCGCGCGCGCGACTCGCCAATTCGATTACCTAAGAGATTCCTTTACGCGAATTAACCGGCGCGCTTTTGCGACACCGCTGCCGCTGCATTTCCCTTTAATCCGATCGCGGGTTATTTATTGTTTTTATCCCCTGTCCCTGCCTCCCTGTAATTTTCGTGCGCGACTCTGCACCGTGCAGTTACAGCTCGTTAAGGCATAATTAACGACTCAATTGTCACTCTCCGGGTTGGTCGAACTTTGCCCGCCACGCAACACGCGCGTGTTCACCAGGAATCACGATTTCACCGCTGCGATCTTGTCGGGCCGCCCGCCAATTTCGTTTTTTAAAGGAGTCCCTCCTGGAACATTCGCCTAACGTCTCCTGGAGACGCCTGCCCGGTTGAGTTCTAATCTCAAATTTTTATTATCTAGATCACCTTCATCACCACCTTGGTTATCATTTGTCAGAAATAGTCAGAAATAGCTTTTTATTGGAAAATCTTTTTAAATATTTCTCTCTGAAGAATTTGTATTTCTAGAGCACTAAACTTTTAGGATGATCGCTTTGAGAAATCCATCTGATTTTTTTTTTTTTTTTTCAGAATTCTTTTTGATTCTTGAATTTTTTATCAGAGATTTCATTTGTCGGAAACTACATTGACTTTTTTCTCTTTAATGCTAATATATTTTAAAATATCTTTTTAAAGGAGTTTTTTTTTCAAAGAATTGATTTTTTTCAGAAGAATCACTTTTTTCAGAATAAATCCTTGAAAATAGCAGAGATGGAAATCTTATTGGTAATCTCTTTGTTCAAGATCGAACTATAGCCATCTTATCAGATGGCTCACTGACTTTTCTAGTGTATTTTTTTTTTTCGGGGGTAAAGAGATTCTGAGAGAGAACATTCTCTTCAAGAATATTCTCGCTCGTACTAGGAGATTTAGAGAAAAGTCCTCCTCGACTGTTCGACCGTACGTATCAATTCTCTGCTTTTGCAAAATGTCTCTCCTCCTCTTAAGGAGGATCTTCGTAAGAGTCTTCTTCTTGTAGAATCAGAGCTCTTAGAGCATTCGCTTCAAAGCGAGCACGACATACTCTACGGAACAGTAGTCTCTTTCCTCGAGAGCTCTATTTTACCAAGAGACCCGTTGGAATCCTTCGGCATCTCTCGGCGGAGCCGAGACGATTCTTCCTCCACGAAGTGGATCGACTTTCTTCCGCGAGAATCTACTCGGTGGCGATCTTTCGACTCGGTGATCCCGTGATGACCTTGACGATGCGCTCTCTCGGCGAGCCGAGGTGCGGCGGGCAGGGCTCCTCTTCGTGGTCGCGTGTCTCGAGCTCGCGATACCCCCCCCGCGCGTGCGTGGCGGTGATGCGTGATCGCGGGTAAGCGTGCGTGCGTGAACGTGAACACGAGCTCTCCATTGATAAACAAAGGTCGGTCGGTGATGAGGAAGACGCGATGGTGCCACTCGGTATATATCAGGAACGCCGATGGCGACTGGAGGAGGTTCCCGCTGGCATCGGCAGTTCACGTTGTTCCTCCACCGGTGAGGGAGAGACCTCAGTGCCACCTCGGTGGTGAGGGTAACGACGAGAGCGAGAAGGGAGGGAAAAACGACGTATGCCAGCGGGAGGGAGTAAACAGAGCCAAGCGTTGTACCCCTTTACCCCCCCCCCCTCACCTCCCCCCCACCCCCGATGATCCATCCCCGCTCTCGCCACGTCGATGCGCTCGTCGAAAACAAGTTGGCCGCTCTCTTGGCGCGTGATAGGTCGATGTAGACGCGAACGTGTCGGACGTTTCGCGGAGAACGTAGGGACTAGAATCGATTTTGGTGGTGGGCAAACAGCTGAACGCTACGACCATGCATACAGCTGTGCGTGGCGCGAGACTCGGTTAATTTTCTGTATAACAGAAAATTCTGATATTCGAAAACTAATAATGACCCCTGCCTATCGTCAGGCCTTAATAAGTTCTTAGAATAACAGAGAGAGATAACATTTTATAACTCTATGCGAAAATATAATAATTCTGCAATAAAATTTTGAAGCAGACAACAATATAACTCGTCGTCGAGAGTTTGGCAATAAATATTTACGCCATAAGTTTAATAATACTTAATAATATATATAGTATAGAGAGAAATTTAATATTCTCACATCGAAATTAAGAGAAAACGTTAATTATATTAAATACTGACTAAATAATCTATGAAGAATTTCAAATCGTACAAGAGCTATATGATAATTTTGTAATACATTGAGGGTTAATAATGATTTGAAATCTTGACTTGCTCTTCATTATTATACAAATTAAATATTCATTACGTGTCAGGAATATAACGAGTAAGCCTATATATAATTTCACCTCTTAGTCTATTAACATTTCAATTGATATGTCTTTCTATTGCATATATATATATATCTCATGTTATCCTAAAGAACCTTCAACGTTTACTAAGAGAAACGATAGTATTTTCTGAGAATAATTGCAAGTAATCTCCAACGAGCTCGATTGACTTCGCTACAACATTTAAACAAAGTTCTCGTTTTCAGCATCAGATCGAGGCTATACCTTCACGAAGCCAGCTCGAGCGGTGCAGCTGCGTTGCGTTGTTTTATTCTACTAACTCTAAATTTATCACCGAGAAGAAAGATTAGAGAGAGAAAAATGATGGAGAGCGAGAGCGAGAGAGAGAGAGAGAGAGAGAGAGAGAGAGAGAGAGAGAGAGAGAGAGAGAGAGAGAGAGAGAGAGAACATAGCTATCTCTTTTTTATTTCATTTGTTGTAAAGGGAAAAACACATAATACTACAATATATAAAATAAAATCACAATAATAAAAGAAATCTAGAATATCCTTTATAAAAGAAGGAAGCTACATCTCGCTTTTGAAATTATTTAGCTCTTAACATAGCGTCATTTATATCTCTCATAAAAATGTTTATGAATGTTTACAAATATTTTAACTAAATATTTTTAGAGAAATATTTCATTACTACTATAAATTTTAGTTACATACATTCTGATAAAGTCGTTGTTTTCGGACGGATGTCATATGTTATCTTATCAATGTGATTTGTTGAAGACACATTTTGTTAATTAATTTTCGCTGCTCTGTCTGCCTTTCTCTCTTAGCTTTTCTCTATGTTAGTGTCGGTCCACAATAAGTATTTAATCTTTAAGCCGTGAGAAATTGACCAATCATAGTCGATTATTCTTTTCATATTCGATTATAATTGGTCAATTTCTTACTTCTTAAAGTTTAAGTCACCTATTGTGGACCGACGCTTAAATATTTAATATTCGTATAAAATTTAAACAACAAAGACAAGATATGTACTTTTCCTGAAGATATTTTTAATGTTTGTGGAAAGTTAAATTACCGGAAGCGTATTTCAGCTTTGTATAGCAAGATTAATTAGTGAGTTATGAGAAGTTTGAGCTTAACCTTGTGCTACTTTAAGGGACAGCGAAGAAGAAGCGTTCCTTAATCTCTTTCCAGCCAAGGATCTGTAGCTATCGTAAGCCGAATGATCGTTCCTCGGGAACGAGGCAATCCGCTGGTGGAAAAACGGAAAAGGATAGATAGCTTCGCACAAAGCAACTCGCCCCTCTCCCTCTCTCCCCCGCTCCCTCCTCTCTCGGCCACTCGGTTTTTCTGTTCTCTTTCTTTGTCCGCCAGTTTCAGGCGCCGCGGGATGATATTTTACGAGCTTTAATTTGGGCCACAGCTGCCAGCAATATCTCTTTCCACTGTCAATGCTCCAACGTGCTTGAAAATATAACGTAAAGTGCGAAATTTACACGCGAATGGGTGAGATGCGTTTAGGAACGAACACTTAACAGAACAAATACTTAACAAACGAGAATAGATAGCGAGAGGAATAATGTAAACAAATATTTTTTGTAAACTTAAGAGATGTACAATAACTATTATCATTAATAATAATGACAAGAAAATTTTTATAAAGATAAGAGATGAGAAAATAATAAATTTTATCAAGAATATAAATAATAAAAAGGAGTACGTTTTTTTTAAGATAAAAGTAAATAAACATAATTAAACTATTAAACGATAATTCTCATTATAATTTGGATAGTTATTTAATTTTCTAACGAATTTAGGAAAAAAAACGCAGATATTTTTCTTAGGCAGAATAAATAGTAATTTTGTATTATAAAATTAAGTATTTTATACCTTTATTAATGTTTCAATTAATTTAATTTGGGAACATCATTTAGAAAGATTGTACTCGGAACAGTAATTGAACGATGCAACGGGGAGACTGGATCAACAATTTAATCACGCTTCCGCGCTCGTTGATGATTAATGACTCGTTAGTAATTAATTCTCATCGGGGCAGTCGGGATGATTTCTGTGAACGAGCTAAAGAGAAAGAAACAGAATGCGAGATATTATTTAGCTCAGAGATCGCAACGGATGCGAGGGTTCAATAGGGAGATCATTACGTTGACCTCACATTCGATATCGGTTGCTTCGATCCAGTTAGAAGAAGTATTTTGTATATAAATCGCAATTTATTTCAGTTCACCGCGCACTTTGCCCCTAAATAGCCGATTTTAAGAAACTAAGTAAGAGATAATGAGATGTAATTTGACTTCGATTTAAACGGGTTAACTAATTAAACCGACAATTTAAATTTTCAAGCCTCAGATATTTTTCACTATTTTTGTAATAATTATTAATTTT